TTACATGCGGACACTGGATTGTTCCTAGTATCAAATTGGACATAACCTCTTCAAAATGCCACAGACAAGTAAATTGCTAAAGTGAACACATTGCTAAAGCCATTATCTTTTTTCTGAACTGTATCTAGAATTTTCAGAGCTAGTTTTCGTTGAAAATTTTCCAAATATTTTTTCTATGAAACCACAAAGGTTTTCATAGTTTAAAAAAAAATTTAGTAATTTATAAAAAGAGTTTGTGTGTGTTTTGTATGTTTAATATAACTTAACATAACATCACGCCTTCTACCCCCGAAGGGGTAGACAGAGGTGCACATTATGCCACTGTACAATGTTACACCCGCTTTTCATATTTATGTTACGAGTCCCATGTAATAGGGGGTGAGCCGATTGCCATATACCGGGCACAATTCCAGACTCCGTGTGCTACTACTACTACTATTAAACTGTCAAACACCAAGCGGTCACCGGTGACCGCAACATATTGTTCTATAATTGTGTCTATAATGACGGTACTCGACGAGTTAAGAATTTTAAAAAATGGGTTTTTTGCCCAAACACACTAGAATAATTTGCCCGGCCCGGGAATCGAACTGCGACAAGTGCAAATGCCTACTTGGGTGACTACTTGGCCAACGAGGCAGCAGAGCAGAGCGTGTATGTTGACACAAGTTTTTAATCACAATGGGTGGGGGTTGAGTGGTTTTTGAGGACAGGTGATAAGAGAGTTTTTCCAAACTACTCTCTTCACCATAGGTAATGTATGATAAAATGTATTCAAATATAAACTACGGCACGTTCCTTTATCATTTTGAAATCAAACCATCTTAACCCCTATTTACTGCTCAATTATAAGTACTACTGTTTCCCTGAAAACCCTTGTTCCAGGTGTAACGACACTCCTCACGATGGCGACCCAGTCATCAGGTATCAATGCCTCCCTGCCACCAGTGTCCTACACCAAAGCCATCGACGTCTGGACAGGCGTGTGTCTCACCTTCGTGTTCGGAGCACTACTAGAATTCGCTCTAGTCAACTATGCATCTCGATCCGACATGCATAGAGAAAATATGAAGAAAGCAAGAAGGGAGATGGAAGCAGCCAGCATGGACGCTGCCTCCGACCTCCTCGACACAGATAGTAACACCACGTTTGCTATGGTGAGCTCAAATCTGATTTATTTGAGACCTTCAACTACTTAGTGCTTTTGAATGGATATTTCCGCTTTGACAAATTTTCTTAGATGTCGTATTTTGAGAATTTGGTATCTAATTAGTTTTCTTTTTGCATTACGATGAGGCTTTTTCGAAAGTAGCCCCTGAGTTTGAATGAGGTGAATGATCTGTTTGTTCGTTTGATTGGATTTATTTGAAAATTATTCTTTAATTTCAAGTTATGTAGTTTGTTTAGGTAGATGGACCGAATTTTAGTAGTTAGCTTCAGTAATTACGATTTGGTACGTTCTAACTGTCATCTTGTTTGAAAGTTATTGCATCTTCGTCGTGAACTTTATTTTTGGAAGACAAAATCTCCAAATTACAAAAGCATGCATGTGATGGAGATGTTAATAATGGAGTCTTTGAGAACAGTGAAAAAGAATTTGTATTCGAGAGCACCTAGCCATACGGTTTAGTCGAAGATGCAATATGTCTCGCCTCCCTGACTGGTCTGCAACAAACAGAAACCCTTGGTGCGCGGCGGCGTGGTGGAATCCAAGATGCGGCAGTGCGAGATCCACATCAACCCTCCGCGCAAGAACTGCTGCCGGCTCTGGATGTCCAAGTTCCCCACACGCTCCAAGAGAATAGACGTCATCTCCAGGATCACCTTCCCACTTGTGTTCGCCTTATTCAATTTGGCTTATTGGTAAGTGTGACTACTTCTACTTCATATACTTATCTTTCTTTTATATGAAATGGTCTTGTTCCACAGAACTGCTTATGCTATTTGTCTGTGGGAACGTCAAAATATTGAATTAGATGCCGTAATTTTCTGAACATGTTTTTTACTTATGTATTAGATGATTTGAAATAATTGGGCTTAATGAAACACCATCATCCAGTTTCCATATTCAATGACTTGAATGATTTTTATGTCAGGTCGACGTACCTATTCCGCGACGAAGACGAAGAGAAGTGATTTTCCGAGTCTCTGGAGAGAGGCGCGGGCCCGCGGCTGCGGCTGGCGGCGGCCGTGGTGGTGCCGTACGTGTTGTTCGTGGCGGCCTACGCGCTCTGCTTCAGAGTCCGCGAGCTGCCGCCCCCGCCGCCCGAGCCGCTGCAGCTGGAGGAGGGG